AGGAAATTTTTGAAATTCGCCCCACCCATTCCGCAACCTTTATGGCGTCCATCAGATGGATCCTACCATTCTTTCAAGATCTTCGGTCTATTCCTTGTATCTTTTTGGGTATCCCTCCTCACAAAAGGGTTATCGGTGCTTTGATCCCGTTGGTCATAAGTTCTTTGCCTCCATGGATGTCTCATGTTTTGAGTCTAAACCATTCTTCCCTACTTCTCCCTAGGGGGAGAGTATTGTGGAAGAGGAGAAGCAGGTCTGTCAAGTTTCCCTGCCTTCTATTCTAGATCCTGCTCCTTTTTGTGTCTTCCAACATAAACGCCGTAGAGATCAGCAATGCAACAAAGGTGTGGAGCCACCAAACACTGAGCAACTAACACCGCCAGATTCCCAGGAGATAAGTCCAATGGTTTAAAATGTCCCTAATTTCCCTAATATTTCCACGACATACTTCCATTTCCATAATTAATGACACAAAATTTTACCGGAATCGACATTTCCCCAATGAACACAACTAGCACTATGTGGAGATAGCTTCCACAACATATTTCTATTTCCACTTCCATGGGGAGTGACATGAAATTTTATTGGGATCAACATATTCACCAATGAACACTCTAGTACATTGTGGAGTCCAAGAGTATTATAACATAAGTTGGTGACAATATTCTAGATATGTGAAGTAACGATTTTATTTTACACCTAACTTACATGATAACCACCTTGAGCTAGCTCGTATTCATTTCAAACATGAAGTTAAATATTAATTTTTTGTTTGTGTTATAGATTATATTGTTGATCTATTACAATCATTTACATTTTCTATGAGTTTAAAATTTTCTTTAACACATTCTATTATGAAGCTCTGAATTGTAAGGTTTATAGGGAAACTTCAGAATGTATTCTTTTGTCCATAGCCTTAGATTCTCAACTTTGTTTAATGATTTAGAACAAGATAGTGATCAATGTTTTAAAAGGTGTGGGAGGCGTATGCCTCATGCTCCTTATGAACATCTGATATAAAAAGATAGAAAAAAAAAAGAAAAAAGAAAAAAAAAGGAAAGGAAAGGAAAGGAAAGGAAAAGAAAGGGAAGGGAAAGAAAAAGAAAGAAAAGAAAAGGGAAGGGAAGGGAAGGGAAGAAAAGATAAGGGGAAAGAAAGTGGTTTGCCCCCTGCCCCTTTGACTGGGGGGCTTCGCCTCCCCAGACCCCCCTGCCCCCTTTTCGATGCAGCCCAATTTGTTTTTTTGAGTTAAGGGGGTCTTACTCCGCTCCGACAAGCTCACTTCGCCTCCGCTTCGACGAGACCCCTCCCTTTCAACTAATGTTATGCATCTTTATTCTTAAAGATTTTTATTAAAAATAAAGAAAAAATGAGATCCCCCCTTCCTCTTCATCCTCCTCCTAACCTCCCTCCTCTTAAGGAGGCTTATGCCTCTTATGTTCTGAATTGCGCCTCACGCCTCTAGGTAGTGGAACGTCTTACATCACGCCTCCGCGTTTTAAAACATTGATAGAGATTTAAAAAGGTGTGCCTATGCTTCTTTTATCATTTCATTAAATATGATTCTATGTTTTGCATTTTTTTACATTGTTTCCACCATGTCTATGATTTTTACAATATTTCCATACGATATTTCCAACATTTCCAACATGTTTCTTATATTTGGATGACCGACATTTCCACCGACATCGACATTTTAAACCTTGAGTCCAACACCTTCTATTTCACTTGTTGATGCCCTGGCTCCCATTTCAATTATGGATGGCCTTGACATTCCTATTGCTCACAGAAAGGGAGTCAAGTCATGCACTACCAAACACCCCATTACCTAGTATGTTTCCTATGATCACACTTCCTCTTCTCACCGTGCCTTCCTATCTGCAATTGATAGCATCCCCATACCCAAAAATGTGGCAGAGGCTTTAAAATACCCTAAATGGACATATGAAGGAGGAAACTAATGCCCTCCATAAGAATCAAACATGGAAGTTGGTGGATCTTCAAAAAGGGAAAGGCCCAATGGGGTGTAAGTGGGTGTCTACATTGAAACATAAGGCAGACAGGACAGTTGAAAGGTACGAAGCAAGGCTGGTAGCTAAAGGGTACACTCAAGTCTATGGTGTTGACTATGATGTGACATTTTCTACAGTAGCTAAGATGAACTCAATTTGAGTTCTTTTATCATGCTGCAAACATTAGCTGGGAATTGCATCAAATGGATATAAAGAATGCCTTTTAAATGGTGATCTGGAAGAGGAGGTTTACATGGTTCAACCCCTAGGTTTTTATGCCTTTCTTGGTATGCCTCCTTTGCTCACTTGTCTCCTTCACATCAACGTTTCATTTCCATTCTATCCTCTATTTCTCTACCGTGTTCTCTATAGGAAGCCCTCTTATCTACTAACTAGAATAAGGTGATGGAAGAAGAATTTCATGCTCTTCAAACCTATGGTGTGGACTATTCAGATGGCAGTATTGAGCGGTTCATAGCTCGACTTGTTGCAAAGGGGTATACTCAGACCTATGGTGTGGACTATTCAGAAACCTCTCCTGTGGCTAAAATAGGTTCTATACGAGTGCTCATTTCTTTAGCTGCCCACTTTGGTTGGCCCCTATTTCAGCTTGATGTCAAAAATTCATTTCTCCATGGTGATCTTCAAGAGGAGGTATATATGGAGCAACCTCCTAGGTATGTTGCTCAAGGGGAGTCAGGAAAGGTGTGTCAATTGAAGAAGGCTATCTATGGGTTGAAGCAATCATCGCAGGCATGGTTCAGTCGCTTTAGTAGTGTGGTGCAAGTTTTAGGCTTGAAACAATGAAGTGTTGAACACTCTATGTTTAGTAGAGACTCGTCATCTAAGAAGATCATCCTAGCAATGTATGTTGATGATATTGTTTTCATTGGCAATGATACACATGGAATTGATGAGTTGAAACAGTTCCTACAGCAACACTTTCAAACTAAAGATCTAGGAACCTTGAAGTACTTTCTTGGAATTGAGGTAGCTCAATCGAAGTGGGAAATCTCTCTGTCCCAAAGAAAGTATGTTTTAGATATGTTGGATGAAACTGGGTTGTTAGGATCCAAGCCAGTTGAAACTCCCATGGATCCTAATGTGAAGATGACTGATAGTCAGGGGGAGCCATTAGAAGACCCTACAAGGTATCAGAGACTAGTAGGAAGTTGATATATCTTACCATCACTAGGCCTGACATCTCCTTTAGTGTTGGAGTCCTCAGTCAATTCATGCTCTTGACAGTAAATCTGATTGAAGGTTACAGCAAAGAGAAGAGAAGAGAAGAAGGAAGGAAGAAGAAGTGTTGAGGCAATGGAACAGTGTTGGTGGTGCCAACTTCATTATAATATATAGGGCAAAAAAATAAGAAGGGAAATGACCCTTGTGCCCCTACTAAGTGATAGTACAATAATAGATAAAAATAAAAAAGGCTTTAATCAGCCAAACAGACCCTAACAAACATAAAATCAATTATTTTAACACTTTCAACACTCCCCCTCAAGTTGG